CGTCGTATCAAGAGTGCATGGTGGACTGAGAAGGCGGAGCAGATGGAATGCTACGCCGAACGCCGCTGACACAAATAATTTTTTGACTTCTTTAAACCTGTGTATGGATCGAAGTTCCAGCCGCTGAGGATATTGCTCAATGCCACTTCAGGCGTGCCTGCGCATAGGCTGGAGACATAATGAAGACCTGGCGAAAGCACTTTGACTGCCTATGCAATCATTCAGTATTCTGCGTTTGTTTTTCTTTCTATTCATTGGTAATTATTCGCTTTTTGTTCCCTCTATTCAGATCAGTGCCCGCATACGTGAGAGCACTGTATCAAATAGTTTGCTGACAAATCAAGCCTTCAAAGACATCTCAGGACTACGCATTTGGGTGAGCAGTCCGTTTCTGACATTATTCAGATATTTTCACTTCTGGAGCACTGCTGAAGCACGCAGTTTGCACTGTGCGTGAGTGACAAAACTGCTTGGACGCACCCAAGGAGTGGTCACACTCACCTGTTCGACTATGTCATCGCACACCAGCGTGACAAACGTGAAGTGCGCAGGACACTTGCACTGTGTGGAGATCAGGGTGGAACCAATTATAACTTGGTGCGGACCAAACTGTACATATATTTTTTTGATTTTATGTGTTGTTCACCTGCCATGAAACCGCGAAAATTTAACGCTATTCCCATGGATACTGATAGGAAGAGGATGGAATTGGAGGTGATGACTAGCCGCCTTGGCGATTTTAAATTCATCTCCACAGCGAGTGAAATGTGGAACCACATCCGTGAACAGATGACAGCTGCTGCCGAGCAAATCATTGAGCGCGCGAAGTGTAAACGGTCCGACTGGTTTGATGACAACAAGGTAATTGTTGGCGCATTGGTGTAAGCGAAGAATGCAGCAATCATTACGCATACGGTGGGCCCTGTCGGTGCAGAGAAGAGTAAGTTTCGCAAAATTCGACGGAATTGACTCGAGAGCTCTGTCACATCAAGAATGCTTGGTGGACAGAGAAGGCGAAGCAGATGGAATGCTACGCCGAACGCCGCCAACATAAGGAACTCTGTGACTCCTTGAAAACGATGTATGGACCCAGGTTGCGGCCGCTAGTACAGACGCTGCATGCACGCAGACTGCAGACGTAATGCAGGTCTACCGAACGCACTTTAACTGTCACTTGAACAACCGTTCAGTAATTGACTGGACTATATTGCACTGGCTGCAACAGCAAGAGATGAAGATGAGTGTTGCTGACAGATCGACACTGGTGGAAACGCAGAGAGCACTTGCTTAGCTGCGAAACGGCAAGTGCGCCGCTTCCGAGGGGATCGCGCCTGAAGTATTGAAACACGGCAGACCCGTGTTGGTTAATTCGCTACATCACTTGGCGCAACGGGTGTGGATTGAAAACAAAGTGCCCGTTAACCTGAAGGATGCCCTTGTACTACCACTGTACAAGAGTAGAGGGAGCAAGCAATGTTATGCGAATTATTGTGGCAACAACTCGCCGAGTTGTGCGAGTAAAGTGATCGCTCGAATCCTGCGCAAACCAACTCGTCACCCAGGTTGTTGAAACACAAGTGGCAGAAGAGCAATGCGGATTCCGTTCGGGTCGCAGCAACATAGGTATGGTGTTTGCGGTTCGCTAGTTGGAGGAAAAATGTAGAGAGCAACAGTAGCCGTTATACTCGCTGTTTGTTAACTTCACCAAGGCATTTGACACGGTGAACCGCAAGGCACTATGGCTGGCATTGTATAGGTTTGGTTGTCTGAATAAGTATGTAAGTCTGACTGAATATCTTCACAACGGTATGTGAGAGAGGGTACAGTTGAGTGGACAAACCTCGGATGACTCTGCTATTGCCTCCGGTGTGCAGCAAGGTTGTGTCTTAGTCCCTGCAAGTATATGCTTTTGATGCTGCTTGTGATTGCAGTGTCTGTGTGGAGCATTGTAATGATAGCAGGTTGCTGAACCTTCGTCGTTTCTGGGCGAGAACCGTAGTGTGTGAGATAAACATCCGTATGTTGCTGCTTGGCTACGACTGTGCGTTGTTTGCACCCAGCGCGGATGAGCTGCAGCACATGACTTCGGCTCTCGCTTCGACAGCGGCGAAATTCGGGCTCAGTATAAAGACAAACAAGACTGCTTGTATTTTTCAGCCTACATCATAAGTGGAATCGTGTGACTGGCGTAAATCCACATTGACGACATTTTGGCATCCACTTCGAGATTTTGCTACCTTAGGAGCGTAATATCAACCGGTCTGTAGATGACGAGTGAACTGCGCATTCGCGTATCGAAGGCGGCTGTCGCACTTTGTAAGGTGGAAAAACGGGTGTGGAACAACTACCAGCTCACTGTCGGTACGAAGCTGATGGTATACAAGTCGATGGTACTGCCCGTTCCACTATACGGCAGCGAAACCTGTACGCTTTGCCGGAATGATGCTGCTACCTGGAGCGGTTTCATCAATAGTGTCTACGACGGATTTTGCGCATCGGTTAGGGTGACGGAGCTGCAGACCCGGAGGTGCTCCGATGTAGTGGCATGTACGGATTGGACTGCATACTTCCGCTTGCGGCACCTGAGGTGGCTTGGGTATGTTCGCTGCATGGATTCACCGCGGATACCGAAATAGCTGTTCTATGGCAAACTGAGCGCAGGGAAGTGGCACGTGAGAAAACCGAAGTTACGTTACCAGGACATGATCAAAGTGAGTTTAGCAAGAACTAATGTTGATTTCAGGAGTTGGGAAGCGGTGGTAGTGGGGGTCAGCTCCGTTGATGAAACGTGACTCCCATCCACCTACCTCCTTTGGGTTTACACTGGAGACATGGTGTACAGATAGAGCTGTGGATGGTGTAGCGCCAGCCCCCCATGGTCCCTCTGTAGGCACAGGGGTCCTGTGGTCGTTCTATAGAGACCGCAGTGGCAGGCAAATCAAGTTGATATTGACCAAGTGGCTAATGCTGAAATCCCCAGCTTCGTGCAGTGCTCTCATGTGGCTTCACGTGGTAAGACGCATTCGTGATAAGTGAAGTACACCGACGTACTCCGTAGAACAGAAAAAAAGAAAACAGAAAAAGTGATCTAAATGATCAGTCTAGAAACTGCCAGTGTGTCGAAAATCCCAACGAAACCCAGGATGGCCTGATATCAAGCATTATCAGGTAGATGATGGCCATATTTGACTAGCGGATGACGAATGACTTGGGCTTAAAGTATAGAGGCACTAACTTCAAAGTTAGCGGTGCTCTGGCGCACTCGACCCTCGGGCTAGGGATGCAAGAATCACGAGCAGGTCCGGACGGAAACCATCTCGGACATGGGAAGCTTTCGCACTCAATGGTGGAGATGTTGTAAGACTCTACCACCGTGATCACAATTTACATTTGCTGTTAGGTTATGTCTCTCTTGCCCTGTAGTCCGGAGGTCACCGATTCAGATCCGCGTAGATACGCGTGACCTCGCCGTATACTTGACCCCAGTGAGACTGTTGGTGGTCATGTGGCAATGAAGAGTCTATTCGGTGGGTCGGTGTACTGCTGATGGTTTTTTCTAGTTATCCTGTGGCTCAGTAGCCCCCAAAGGTTGAGGTGATCTTCCGAAGAAGCTACCAGCGGTAAAGTAGGAGTGAGTCGTTCTGACAGCCAGATATTGGAAAAGTAAAGCACAGTAAGAAATCGATGGTTGGTCGAAACTTTCCAATTCTGATGGTTTAAACCAGTGATGAGCTGGCTTAATCGAAGAGTTGAAGATCAACGTGACTACATAGCCCTTCTAACATGAGACGCTGGCTCTATAGCCTAAGTACTGTGGATGATTTTGAGAAATTGAAAATGAACTACGAAAAAAGCAAAGCGACACACGCAACGTCAGCGCGTCTAAGTGAGGCATCCTTCTCTGTACGAAAAGGGTACATTTCAAAACACCAGAGATCGAATCAAAAGAGGCGTATCGGTACCAGATAAAGCTGTCCGGGCCAATGAGTAAGCGTGTTAACGAGAGTGTAGATTCAGTATGCGGATGCAAGCGAACTGCAAAAAGGTTTTTCAATCAACCCGTTAATTGCCAAACGTTTCCTAAAAAATAGTACCTTAGTGTTATGCATTCACATCTGTTTAGTAAGGAAAACATATCTTCGAGTTAGGTGTTATACTTAGCGTTCGTCGCACTGATCGGATCGCGATGGGTTATGAACACATCCTTGTTTCTTAAGCAGATAGCAGATGGTTTAAAGTATGATTGCTAAATGGAGAAGGGGCAATTAGTTGGTAAAAGTGGAGTCCCAGTGACCAAGATGACCGGAGTTTGGCTCACGGCAAATCGCGCTGTGCGTCATAAATATAAACAAGTAGCGAGTGAGGTAAAGCGCCAAACAAGGAAGTTGTAATTGTTTTGACAAACGATCCTTACAAAACACGGTGTTATAGTGATGAAAGAGCCTGTCGGAAGATCATCACGTCCTAACCAGACTGGATATTATGCTATAAAGTGCGCACTCAAAGGCGGATAAAAACGGCTGGGCATTATGGAAGATGTGGCCAAGGCAATTCAAGTGATCCGGGGGTAAATGCACGTTAAGTTCATAGTTTATTAGCGTAGAATTTCAGACTGCACGTTGCAACTAAAATCCACAGCTAGTACGATGTTCGGACATACAATAACCGATGTTTAATCGTTGTGCTAAGCACAGTTGTCATAGTTTGCCGTCCAAATGGCAAAGGCGTCTACTATCGGCAACCACAAACTGAATGGATCCAATCCTAACATTCGGTCACTAAGACAAAGAATTCAATTTGTAGAGTACAATCCAAGAAAGGTGATTAACGCATAAGGAGGTTCTGCAGCTCAACATTTATTAAAGGAAACCAGATGGGTAGCACGTTTTTAGGAAAAAGTTGAGTTGATTTGATTGTGATTACCAACTAGTAAAGAGAGAACGGTCAAAACAAAAGTTGTTGAAGCGGAAAATTTTAGTAACCATGCGCTAGGCACTCACCATAGTGGGTTAAGTTGAAAACGTAACGAAAATCAAATCGATAGAAGCGATTGGAATAGGGACCCGGCGAATAGGGAACACCACGTTCATCCATGAGCGGTATTTCAGGCGGTAGTCGACTACCCAAATCGGGTTGAATGGGATCGAGGCCAAGTGAGGCGGCTCTGTCAGGATAATAGTAGGCCAGACGACCCAGATAAGTGTCGTCCGTCGGCAATTCATTCCGTTTGCGTAGGTCATCGAAGGTGGGTGCCACTCGGCCATCTGGGCCGGGTTTCCGAGCACCGGGACCATGCCAAACATCGGCCAACTCAGCGGTGCAGATGGAATTAAACATAATCCAACAGAAAGTTGGGACGACTAGAAATGCCAGAAAGAGCAGCCATATGACTATGGTTGTGTATGTGATACACATGAACTGAAAAGGAAAAACAGGGTGGACGAAATGGTGTGAAACGTCGAGAATGAAGCGAACAGATACACGATTATTCGTGTAAATTAAACAACCAACCGGTAACCATACGATAGGCCGATAAGTGCATGTAGGTGGATGTTATACAGTTGGTGGGCAATTTCTGTCGCAATGAGACTGGACCCTAACGTGGTGCGACGGTTTGCGTACCACCTTGACAAGTTGAGCTATACTGGGTGGTGCCTCCGGGCACCTTGAGAGCTACTCCTGCCAGGTTGGTCAATGGTTAAAGATCAGACAAACTCAGTCTTCTGATCCTCCAGGTTGGGGGTTTGGAATGGGATGGCGTCTATTTCTGTAAAACTAAATCATTGCCACTTCCCCGCTGCCTTTCAGACAGGCTTTTGAGCCAAAGGCTTTGGTTAAGGACCCTAATCGTCTGCCTGTCTAAGTCTGGGCGCCCTGGCAGTATCTCAGCCCACATACAACCATGACTTATTCTTCAAACATAAACTTCATCCTGCACCGGCCGTCGCGCAGATTATCAAGGGTCGCCTTATCTGCTACATACAGCATGGCGGATAAGCGAATGTGTGCTGTTGCTGGCGCCTCCCTTCTATCGTTTCCATCTGTTTCTCTTGCTCCCAAGCTGACCCCCATTACTAACCTTCCTTCTATAATTCCCAGCTTAATTGACAGCAACCGAACCATCTGCAGCCAAATTCCCACAACACCCAACGGATGCCTATCGCCAACAGTCACTTAAAAGGCCACGCTGTCCCGTTTCCATGGCGACGTTCAACGTTCGCACTCTAAGACAAATAGGTCAACAGGCTGCACTCGCACGTACGTTGGACACACTGGGTATTGATGCGTGCTGCGTATCCGAAATTAGGATCGATGGCCCTAATGGGGTTGTTGAACTAACTGCACCCGGCTTGCCCTCTCGCTATTGGTTACACGCATCCGGAGATGCCGATGCAGCACTCACGGATAAAGCTGTGGTAGGCATCATTCTAAGCTCTAAGGCTGAGCAATCCTTGGTTGATTGAATTCCGGTGAACTGTCGTTTGTGTGCAGCTCGTTTGACGACATCAACCAAGGTTGCTTCATGAAGTAGTACAAAACGCTGTTTGTTTGTGATTTCCGCTTATGCTCCCACCGACCGCAGTTCAAATGCTGTCAAGGACACATTCTATCACGAACTGAATGCGCTGCTACGCAGTGCTACTAGTTCAGACATTATAGTACTTGCATGGGATATGAACGCACAAGTAGGGCGTCTGAGCTCTGCAGAAGCTCAGTTGGGTGGTAATTATGGACTTAACTCCAAACGGACTGACAACGGTGAGTGTCTGCTGCAACTGTGTGCGGAGCACCAGTTGTTTCTCAGTAGCACTGCTTTTAGACACAGTGGGCACCAAAGTGCCATTTGGCGTCCTGTAGCTGGCCAGCGATAGACCCAAATAGATAACATTGCCATAAGTAGGAGGTGGCGTGGTTCCATCCTGAATTGCCGCCCGTTCTGGAATAACTGCGTCGACTCTGATCATGCCTTGGTACGCTGTCCTTTCTCAATGAACTTTATAAGGAGGCGCACCAAGCGTCTCCCCCGATTGGCAAAGGAGAAATTGTCTCAGTACTCGGTCAGGCAAGCCTATCAGGGCGCACTGCGTACCGAATTTTCACTGTCTTGTTCAAATGATACTGAGCTCAAGTGGAATAGGATCTCGTCCGCCATGTACGGAGCAGGAGCATAGGCTTATGGCACTATCAATCGTCACCGCACCAGTCACTGGATATCCGAGAGGTTGGTGAACCTGTTGGAATCCAGAAGAAACCTCCCGGCTGGCTCTGTACACAATGTGACCAGATGGACTACTAAGCGCGAACTAAAGCGGAGCCTACGTGCTGACAAGGAAGTCTGGTGGAGCAGCAGGGCTCAAAAAATGGAGAAGACAGGAGCAGTAGACAATTACCGCAAGCACTTCCAGCTGATCCGCACCACTGGTTCCAGGAAACCAGGCGTCAGAGAGACAATCAGAGACAACGCCGGTACTTTCATTCACAATAGTGGAGCGCCGTAAGCTCGTTGGGCGGAACACTTTCAAGATCATTTCAGCTGGCCCCCTGCTCCCGGACATCTTCCTACTCAGGTGATGCAGGACGAGCCACGGACGGTTAGCTTAGAGCCTCCTTAGGAGGCCGAGGTCCGATATGCGATCACAGCCCTCGAACGTTTTCATGCCGCTGTCCCATATTCCCTCCCACCTGCACTATTTAAGGATGGAGGTGAGGTCCTCTGCAAAACACTGACCTCCCTATTCGAACGTATCTGGAAGGAAGAGAGTGTCCCGGCTAACTGGAGTGAATCCATTGTAGTGGCAATATAAAAGAAGGGCAGTCACACAAACCGTGCTAACCACAGGGGTATTAGTCTAACGCCAGTTGTAAAATTACTGGCCTCGATTCTCGTTTGTCGCCTCAGTGTGGAACGGGAATCTCGGATTAGAGAAGAGCAGGCAGATTTCCGCCCAGGACGTGGCTGTATAGACGATATATTCACTCTGCGGCATGTGTTGAGCAGCGCCACGCATGCCGCAGAGTGACAATAGCTGTGTTCCTCGCTTTTTAGAGTGCGTTCAATTCAGTCGATCGATGCATTCTGTTCGAAATACTTGCGCGGAAAGGTGTTCCCACGGAATATGTGAACAGCTTACACGCTCTATACACGAATACTACAGGTCGCGTCAGAGTCTACGGTGACCAGTCGGATAGATTTCCGACCACAGGTGGCATTCATCAGGATTGTCTGATTTCCCCGCTGTTGTTCAGTTTCGTCGTGGACTCTATCATGGAATGTTCCCTTACGGAGTCTCAAGATGTAGGCGTTAAGCTCCTGCCTGGTGAAAGTTTATTTGATCTTGATTATGCGGATGATATCGTCTTGCTTTTTGACGATGTTGGGGCGGCCCAGTGAACCCTGAATAGCCTGTCTAGAGTGGTCCCATTATTTGGTATGCGTTTCGCACTTTCAAAGTGCAATGTATTGCTACAGGACTACCAGTCACTTGATGATCTCTAGACCCCTGCTAAGAGGAACTGGAGCTGGTCTACCAAATCACTGACGTTGGCAGCTGCATCACCCACGATGGGCGCATAGAAACTGACGTCAGATCATGCATTGCAAAAGCCAGAACTACCTTCTTGAATCTACAGCATCTTTGGAGACAGAAGGGAATTTCCCTTTGTCTGAAAGACCGTGTATACAAGGCCACAGTGAGCGTCGTCCTGCTCTATGGTAATGAGACTTGGCCCCTTCGGGTTGAAAATTTGAAGCGCCTTCAAGCCTTCGAACACCGTTGTCTGTGAAGCATTGCTGGTGTCGGATGGCACCAGCGTGTCCGCAGCGATGATGTGTGTAGGCGAGTACTAGGTAGTGATAATCATGCCAACTCCTTAAAACAACAGATAGCACTGAATAAGTTGCGTTGGCTCGGGCACGTGTTAGATACGCCTGGTCACCGCTTACTTAGGAGGTCCTTGTTAAGTATGGCAGGTGTAGAGGGGCGCAAAACTCGAGCTGGATAGAAGCGGACTTGGCAGCAGGAAATGAAGTGACTGACGACCAAACTGGGTGTCGCTAGTCCTTCTCGCTTTCCGGAGTCCACGTGACTTGCCTTGTGCTTGGCTCGAGACTTTACAGAACATACCTCGCAGTCAACACCAGTGGCGCCTCTGCTGTCGTCTGCTAGTCGGATTGCCTGTTTAAAGTGTGCTTGGTGCTGTTATCTGCGGGATAATGGCTGATTATGACGTGGGGCAGTGAAAGCCGAGAGGATGCTGTCTCCCCGATGGCGCCTTATCTTTGTACGATAGCCAGCTGTTTGTGACCGTATGTTGCTAGCACAAGGTGTAGGCGCCTTGACACTGAATGCTTGCTTAGAGCATTAAACTTTCCAAGCAAGTCCCCCATCTCTCCCTCATTATTCTTCATTCCTTAGGACATCATGGCTGTATGGCAGCGAAGCATCAGTTCAAATGGCTGATGTACTGCTGCTGTTGTTGTGTATTGGTGGGCAATTTACATATATATATATATACATATATATGCATATATATATATATATATATATATATATATGCCCCATGCTGAGGCTGATGATGCATTCTTGATGCTTCTTCACCGAGGTTGGGCTAAACCAACTTACACTTTAACTAGGTCTTTTTAAGCTGCACTCATTTCATTCCACATTATTTGGTTTGTTCTGCCTACCTGAATAATCTTCTATTAACTGGTCGCGTTGCTTACGCTAATTGTGGTTATCTTCGTTAACTTTATTGCGTTTGTAGCATTTCTTGAGTAACTCCTAGATATTTTGTACTTATCGCGAATTTTTTTGCTAACCAACTTACTTCCTATGCTTATTTAGGGAAAAGTTATGTCCGTATAGCTGTATTCGTTAGCAGATACATTTTATTTGATAATGTCGTTTCAATTGATTGACTGTTGTTTGACATTTCCGGTGTCGCTGCGCGTGTGAGGTGCATGTTGACAAAGTGCCTACCTGTTTATTACCTACCACCTCGTCCATACTGGCTCTAGGAGACAGTTAGTCGTCGCTGGAGAGGGCGGGGTGCACGGTTCTTGTGGCCGTGTCAGGATCAAAGAGTGGTTCCATGCAGTCAGTGTGGAGCAGACTACGGTCTAGCCACCGCCTTGTGTGCGCTTGATTTTCCAAATACAGTGTGCTTATGTTTGCCTGTGAAGGATTGTGGGTCGGCTCCGTTGATGAAACGTGGCTCCCATCCACATGCCTCCCGGTGTTAGTCCATTGGGTTTACACTGGATTTGGGGCGTGTGGATGGAGCTGTGGGTGGTGCAGCGCAAGCCACCCATGGTCACTCTGGATGTTCGCAGACTCAGTAACAGAAAAATCCGGAGGCAGATACCGTCATGTATGTATACATAAGGGAAAAGCACATGGGAGAATGTAAGCCACCTGCCTTCTCTATTATTTTTGACGACAATGACTAGGAAATAGTTGGTAAACTAACGTGTCTTGGTAGACGAATTGGTAGCGGCAGAGGGGCAACTGTGGAAATCAGTCCACGAATCGGGTAAGCCAAAGTTATCTTCATGAATTAACAGGACTTCTGCCGCCAGCAGATATTTTTTGCCTTAACAGCTACGCATATAAAATCATGACGAGTGCGGTTCTTCACCGCGACAGTTAAGCTAGTTATTCTGGCCGGAAAACTGTTGATGATCGTTGTCCCTGGAGAATTACTCGTGTGAAGCAACACCATCGGGTTCGCAGCAAGGAGATGAGCGCGAACAACGGACTACGAAGTGTAGGCTAGTTTTCGTTGGGACAACAAAGATGCGTGAATAAGCTGCGCTGGTTCAGTCACGTGCCATGCACCCCCGCGATCTCCGTATGTAGATGTGAGCTCAATCTGTTCGCCGGATGTAGAGTGGCGATCGTTGGCATAAAGGAAGGAAATGAGGCCGTTGAGGACTAAACTGTTTCGCCCACCACGTCCATCAGATTGTGGTTTGCCTAGAGTATTGAGTCATCTATGGGATAAGGTTAGTTATGACCCGGGACAGCAAAGGTCGTCGGAGAATTGTTTCCTGGATGGCGTCGTGACTTCATATGACAGCCGGTTGCTTGTGACTGTGGTGTAAGCAGGACGTAGGTGTACTGACCCTGAATTCGTGAGTAGGGCATTTAAGGAAGACATCGGGGCGCTTTCACGCCAATCTAGTTGTTCAAGTCGCAGAGTCAACTATTAGTTTGTGATCAGCATGTGACGAATTACCAATATAAAGTGTTGGCTTAGTAGTGTTTATCCCGATTGTGAGAAGAGGAAATGAAATGAAATTCGGCCCAATGCCAGTGCTGGGCAGCAAACCATACGTGCGCGCAAACGATACAACAGATGTCACAAGAGACTGGACAGAAAATATCTCGGTGAAATGCAATTAGAACCGATGAAAAGCGGAAAAGAGCCCGAAATACATGTTCTCACGAGTGCTGCAGAGAAGCGTCCTCCCATGATGAAACGATCTCCACGGTAAATGCGTCCACGCGTTGCATTGGTCACAAGGGCGGAAAAAATCACCACAAGAAAGGCCAGTAGAACGGCAACGATTCCGTTAACCACGGCTGCAATCCGCAAGTACTGGAGTCTGAGAAAAGCATTTAAATACAATGTGTGACGACCGGCAGAGGGAACAGGAGATTAGTACAAAGAAACAAGAGACGTATCCGGTCACACCAGCAGCAGAGTATGGAAACATCACTTAAACGACACTTAGTGGCCCAATCTCACGTCACTCGCGAGTATAAAAGAAACGGATTATTGGGGCGACGAACCGCAACAAATGTGGAATGAAGCAATCGTGTACCAAAGCATCAATCTTTAAATTGGATTGACGTTCAGAGACAGATGACACGACGGCAAATTTGCGTCCATCATAAGCACAGTAAACACTAGCGTTTACCTGGCATACAGCCGAGATCAAGCAGAAATGATCCTACTAAAAGGGATTAAACAGAAGGGGGACCAAGGCATCAACAATACGCCGGTACGTCGTGCCATGCGACCACCGCCAGTCGCGCGATGGGTGGGTATGCCGCGAGATCGCCCGTATGTACGCGGTTGCGAACCGGTGACCTCCGAATTACAATGCACGCGCGCAATCCATTCGGTCATCGGTCGACCCGACACAAAGCCAAAATGTGCTGAGCGAAGCAAAGCGCGTGCATGCTATGCACACAGTGCGGCGCACAACAGCTGGCTGCGGCATGAAGGTGAGATCATCCGTGAGACAGAAGCCGCGATAACAGCTTTCGTTGGATCTCCAAGGATAGCAAAACACCATGCAGCATATCGAAAATATGTGCTACGGTTGGCTTATGCCCCATATCTTGTAATGTATTCAAGAAAGCACAATAGCGGATTGCGTGGACTCCAGCATGAGAAACGACCCAGAACAAAATCAACCAAGCGAGCAATCATATACAGCGCTGTGAAAAAGTCCTGCACCACCTTAAAAGCATTCCATTTCCTGACCTACCACTCGCAAGAAAAGATACACAATCACTTCACAATTGCTTTTCAATAGTGCTACACTTAAATTGTGGCATCTCAACCGTTATTTTATATTTCTTACTCAATAAGCCATTACTGGACAGTATCATCCGAAAACTGCATTATAACTGTGATGTCGCTTAGCGCGTAGTGTTAGTACATTTTTAATAGTCGTGTGACCCGGAAAAGGATCGTGTAAAGAATTTTGAGTGTTATCAGTTAATTGGCCAGCCTTTGTTTCTCCCAAATGCTTTGCATTACGCTGACATTGGAGATGTTCGGAAGTGGTGACACGCTTCCAGACATCAATAAAAGACTCGAAAAGTTCTTATTTGGTCATTAGCTGTTTTTTGATATTTCTAGTGATGGTCTGTGCCACAAATTTTCAAATAGATTTAGATCTGGAGACTGATTCGGCTATTCCGGCGTCTTCACTTCCCTATATTTCATTCATTCTGCGACTACCTTCGTCCGATGGCATGCACATTGACATACTGGAAGTGGTATTTTTCTAAAATAGCTTCTAATCTGATGGCAACATGCAGTTTTTGGGATATCCACATATTGCGTGCATTGATCTTGATATTAAGGATATGGAACCTTCCAAATTCATTGGCGGTCATAAAAAACCCACAAGCATGCTCGCTCACTTTTTGCGAGCACTAACTTCCGACAGCACCCGCAGAGTGGTGACATGGCGCCCACCAGCCTCCAACCAGCCATGGACGAAAATCGACCATATTGTGATCAGTTGCCGCTGGAGAGGCTGTGTCTAAAATTGTCGCTCAATTTAGAGAACGAGATTGTATGCTGATCGCGCACTCCTTCGTGTCGATCTTACGGTTCGCTTCGGTAGGCGAATGCGGAGACGCTGTAAGTGCATAGATACCAGCTGGCGAAGCCAAATGTCCTAAAAAGGGAGGGCATCCGCAGCATGCTGGTACGCAGTATAGACGCTTCGCTGCTGTGCAACCACCACCGGTCTCATGTGGGCTAAGGGTACTGCGAGGGTCGCCCTACCCCTACGCAGGCTCGAACCCGCGCCGCAAGATTACGAGACAAGGTGGTTACCTCTAGGCTATGGGCCAGCCCAGATGTTTTAAATGCGTATCAAAGTGTGGTGATTTCTGGGCAGAGTAAGAGCTCTCTGAACACACTGGAGGGCCACTGTCAGTATATCCGCAGGACGTTATAGGCAGCAGGCATGGCTTCATGTGGCAAACCAAATTGCCAACCAGCACAATGGGTGTCTATGCAGTCTCTGAAAGCTCTGGATGCTCGCCGACATACTCCGGCTGAGAGCGAACAAGAGATTCGGAAAGAACTCAGAACGAAACTACGTGCTAGCCTGAAGGGAGACAGCGAGACTTGGTAATTTCATCGTGCCTCGGAGATGGAGACAGCCGCTGCGCTTGGTAACCATAGGAAGTTGTTACTTGTAATACGTGAAACTGGCAGTAGGAGAATTTGTGTCGACGAGATCATACGTGAAGAGAGTGGACGGCCGATCCACAGCTTGCCAAAATGCTTGGAGCGTTTGGCCGAGCACTTTGAAAAGCAGCTTAATCAACCAGTAAATAGCTTCGACATCGGCCATTGATCGCCCTACTGCTTGGACCGTCCCCCTGGACCCGCTTTAACGCGCAGAAGTTGGTGAGCATCTTCGTGCTCTATTGCCACGTCACTGATTGACGACTTCGGGGTTCTACCCACCAAACTACACATGATGAGGCAGTCTGCCGAAGTCATGCGAAGGCTGACAGAGCCAACGTAGGTGATTCGAGCTCAGCAGGCACTGCAGCAATGAGGCATCGGACAGTCTGTTGCTGAAAACCCCATGGTGAACATCCGAATTAAGCACCCAGTTTTTTCTCCAGAGAAGTACAGTATGTCTCCATCGATAGTAGTTAAACATATTCAGTCTCCTGAGGTCTTTTGCAAGCAGCGGCCAGATATCCGATCCATACGGTTACACTGGCCAGACGGCAAAGTTGTAGATCATTCCCCTATACCCAATAAGCGCACATCCCACTGTCTCCGCAAGTGAATAGTGATTCCAAAAACTGTATGAGCCTTGGCTAACAGTGCGATGACCTCTTCGGCGATATGACCACCATTGTTATACAACTACTATCCGGATAAGTGAACCGACCGATAATTTCGAGTGGCTGTTAAGTGATAGTGGGCCCCTGTGATGAGTCGACCCGGTCCTGTAACAGTACTTTGCTAGTTGGAGGTGCAGTGGTCGCGTCAGACTGCTTGCTTCGTAGCGCTTACATAGCAGCTGGATCCAACTGGGAGAAAACAGTCAGCCGTGGGTTTAAACTTGACACGTGGCCCTCCAGGGAAGGGAGAAGGAAACAGGAGAGAGTCAATAACGATCGTCTTGAGCACGAAGTTGAAAGGAAATAAGGAGTGTGAGTTTAATGAGGTTTCCCGCAAATGTTTACATGCCCAAGAGAGTTGCAGTATAGCGGATTTATAATAGAGGAATTCTTCAGGTATATCTTCTAAATGGGCAGTCTTCAGATCATAGAATGCTATCGTGCCGGACTGTTTGTGGGAGTGGAGACGTTCAAGCATTTGTCGGAGAGCAACAATGTGGTCAATGCACTCTCTACCGGGTGAGAAACGATGTGACTTTTACTGAGTAGTGTGTCGAACGAAATGCTATAGGAACGGATGCAATGTTGGCTTAATTGAAAAGAAAGTTAATACAACCAGAACATTCGTAGCACAGAAAGACGTGGGACAAAACCGGTCCACATGGAAAGAGAACACAGAGACTATGTGTGGACACAAATGGCAACGACTTACGAGTAAACTGGGAAAAAATGATGCCGAAAATATAAATCGACTTTGGAAATACCATGATAGAGAGTACCACACAAAACCCCACCGCCAACGAAAACAAGGATGAAACCGATCACAGAGTTGTACGGTACGCGTCCCAAGCAGTTTCCCTTGGTTTCTGAAAGGGACCAGAAAGGAATCATATAGTGGCCATACATGCCAAAAGTAAACAAACTGAAAGCGGTAATGAAAATATCAACGAAAAGTAAAGCAGAAAGAAAAGTGGAAACGTAGTTGAAACAATGGAAAGAGGATGTGAATGAAGAATGTGATGCCACGTCGACTGAATTCCAAGAATCAGTTTAGTTGACACACAGTACCAACACTGCTGCCGCGCAACCACCACCAGTCGTAAAAGGGCTAAGGATACTGCAAGAGTCATCCCGTCCCCTACACAGGCTCGAACTTGTGCTCTCGGATTACAAGGCAGGCTTGTGATCCTTAAGGTAATGTGCCGGCCATAGAAGTCGTATTTTACAGAGTCAATGCTAGAATTTGTGGGCGCGTAGGCAACGATGACAAACAGACACCTATTGGTCCCGTGCGAATTTGAAGCTTTGTATGAGTCAGTCAGTCGGACCGCACGCAACCAGTTACTGATAGGGAAACAATCAGCCAGGGCAGCTTCAGCCTGGGGACTCAGGGCAATACCAACACCGGGTTGGCCGGTATTCGAAGCTGCATCGTCTCCGAACGGACGCAGTGTGAAAGCACTGCTAGTGTCACCTGAAGAGGACTCCAAAGCGAGCACACAGCTCGGGTTTTGTTGGCGGGGTTCCGATAAGCAGACGTCAATCGAGAGGGTAGCTAATGTTCGGGCAAGTGCTGCGCACTTTGAAGCGTGCCAGTCTTAGGGAGGATCAAGGATTTCAAATAGAAGCAGATGAACTGAAGTTGTCCGTTTGGCTGGACATGGACTTGACTGGACTGAAGCGACGCTCTGCGATTGCATGTGAGTTGAAAGTGGAAGGTAAATGCCTATCAAAGTATGGTAAGAGAGGGCCAAGAATCGGGTAGTTGAAAACGGGGGGGATAAAAGTGAAGTTGGAACGGGACGATACAGGTTAAAAAGCGCAACAGGGGGAATAAGACGAGAAGGCTTTGGAAGTGATACGTTTTTCGTATATATTGCGGCACAAAAGCTGGAGCATCTTCCGCTTCTAGCTAACGTGTGTAATGATGAACGATGATAATGAGCAGTAGCATCTAAACCCCTATCCATCCTACTCGATGCAGCAGATGGGGCACCAGTGGTTGTCCTCTGCGACGGCCAGAGAATCAAGAAATGGTTTGAAGGTAAGGTCATGGTATTGCATGGGTAAGATACTGTCATTCATTCATTATACACATCAGCTAGAGGTGGGAAAACACCTCCGCTATTGTGCCCAGGCCTGGACAGGAGAACAACTAGGGTTCTTAATCAAAGCTTTTGGCTCAAAAACCTGACAGCAAAGCAGAAGGTTTAGCAGTGGGCTACAAGGAGTCTGTTTTAAGGAGTAAAGATCCAGACTCACTCCAATCCCAACTTGTTGGACCAGGAAGCTGAGTTTATCTGGCCTCTGATTATTGCCCAATTTGGTATGAGTAACTCTGAATGTGTTAAAAGCACCACCTAGCATAGCGCAAAGGATTGCTGAGGCATGCAAACCATCGCATTAAGGTAAGATCTACCTTAATTGCAATGGTACCGAGGACCAGTGGGAAGCGAATGCCTTCACTCTACTTGACCAAGCCATAAGCTGATCTGCTCCTCTTTTCCATCCACATCTAAAAAGCAAAACCTAGAAAATCGATCAGTGGACACTATATCGACTAAAATCCGTTTTATAACTAAAAAGGTAACAGCAATACGCTGGCAGATCAATCGACCCTTCACTGCCATGGGAATATCACCGGACATCGCAATGAGGCTGGACTTTACCGATGCGCGATGGTTTGTGTGCTTCAGCGAACCGTTGAGCTACGCTGAGTGGTGCTTCTCTGCACCTTCAGAGCCACTCATACCAGATTGGTCAATGGTTAGAGGCCAGACAAACTCAGCCTCCTGGTACTCTAGGTTGAGGGTTGGAATGAGACTGGCTCCTTGTTATTTAAAACGGACTCCTTGTAGCCCAACGCCAAGCCCGCTGCCTTGCGGTGATTTTTGAACCAAAGGCTTTGGTTGAGAACCCTAATCGTTCTCCTGTCTAGGCATGGGCAACCTGACAGTATCCTGCTCACGTAATACTATGAATCTTTTGTCAAACAATGTTTTGATGCTCTGGCCACCGCAGAGGATAATCAACGGTGTCCTATCTGCTGCATCGAGCAGGGTTTTTTCACTCTTACCGTCCCGTTCAAGCTTCACTTTTATCCCCCCTGTTTTCAACCCACCAATTCTTGGCCCTCCCACCTTGCTTTGATAGGCTTTTACCTTTTAGTTTCAACGCACATGTGAACGCACTGCGTCATTCCTGCCCCGTCGACAAGCCCATGACCAGGCAAGCGACCAATCCCAGTGCATCGACTTCCATTTGGAGTCCTCGATCATCCTACCAATTGGCATGCCTCAATGTACGCACACTGCTACAGATCGGTCAACAGGCAGCACTTGCCCGAACATCAGAGACCCTCTCGATCGATATCTGCTGCTTATCGGAGACCCGCCTGCAAGACGAGCTCAGTGCTCACTTTGCGATCCTCTTCAGGTGACATCAGTAGCACTTTCCCATCGCGTCTCTCCGGTGACGATGTAACTTCGAGCACCGGCCAAACCAGTGTTGGTATTGCCCTGAGTCCCCAGGCTGAAGCTGTTCTGGTTGATTGGATTCCAATCAGTAGCCAGTTGTGTGAGGTCCGATTGGCTGACTCGTTCAAAGCTTCGAAGCCGCACGGAACTAACAGGTGTCTATTCGTCATCGCTGCCTATGCAACCACAAACTCTAGCGATGATTCGATAAAAGACGATTTCTAGCGCCAATTGAACGAGCTCCTTCGCCACAGAAGAAGCTCGGACACTGTTGTGCTGGCTGGGGATCTGAACGCTCAAGTTGGAAAATTATCCACTGATGAACTGCATCTGGGCGGCCAACATGGTGTAGGCTCCCGTAATGATAACAGTGTGTTGTTACTTCATTTGTGTGAAGATGCTCGCTTATTTCTTGCGAGCACTAATTTCTGACACAGCACCCGCCGGAGGGTGACTTGGCGCCCATCAGCCTCGAACCAGCTATGGACGCAAATCGATCACATTGCGATAAGTTACCGATGGAGGCTGCGTTCAGAACTGTCGCTCGATTTGGAGCACATGTGTGGACAACGACCATGCACTTGTATGTGCTGACCTGCGGATGCGTTTTGGCGGACGCCCACGACGAGGTTGTAAGCGCAATGACACCAGCCAACTGGCGAAGCCAGCTGTTCTGAATACTTATCAAAGTACGCTGCCATGCGAGTTGAGTAAGCGCTCACTGGTCCCATATTCACTAGACCTTACTAGCAACAGGAAAATCCTCATGTGGTAAGTCTAATCGCTAACATGGACTTTGTGTCTCTTCGCAGTCTCTGGAACTTATCGATGCTCGCTGGCATATTCCGGCTGGAAGCGAACACAATGAGCTCCGTGCAAAACTCCGTGCTAGCCTGAAGAGAGACCGCGAATCCTGGTGGTCTCTTCGTGCTTCGGAGATGGAAATGGCCGCTGCCCTTGGTAACCATTGTAAGTTATTCCGGCTGATACGGGAAACGGGCAGCAGGTGACCTGGTGTTAGTGAAACTATCCGTGACGAGAGTGGACAGCCTGTACACAACTTGTCAAAACGCTTGGAGCGTTGGGCTGAGCACTTTGGAAGGCAATTTAATCGGTCGGCAGTGATAAATTTCTCGCCGGCCACTGATCGCCTCACTCCCTTGGCTGTCCCTTTGGATCCACCCTCTCGCTCAAAAGTCGAAGGTGAGGTCACCAGCACCTACGCGGATTCGAAACCAGGTGACCTCAGGAGTACAAGGTATGGGTGTAATCCTTTCGACTGCCGGCCGTGGAATAATACCAAAGGTTAATCAGTAGGATGCTCTTAGACAATTTGACACTGTAATTAGTAAGGAAGAGCAGAGAACAGAAATTCAAGGTAACCGGGAGCATAAAGGGATAGCATGTAATTGCCCTGGGATTTGGCGGTTATTTGATTGATAGAGAAGCCATAACTTACTGATCAGTCAATAACAACGGTCGGAGTTCAGTACAAACGTCTATCACCGAAAGCAGCCTCAGATCTAAGTTGTGTCGAGTGAACGCAGCTCCCATGACTTCGTCAACAGTCAAGAGGAAAAAAGGAGAGAATAACAGTAGACATTCTTGCCCCACATTGTTGGAAACATTTAAGAGTGGTGACAGTTTCTAAAAGCTTTGCTCGGTGAAGACTCTTACGGTATGCAATCGATCACTGAGCGACTGGTGGTTGAAGTGTCTAAATGTAGTACGTGCTTTGTCCCCTCCCGGCGTGAAATGCTGTTATAGAGACCTATTCCACAATACCATCATCAGTTACGTTCGATTGAACAAATATGATCGATCACCGAAGTGCGGTGGATCCAGTGAGTGTGTTCGACGCCTTGTTTACGGCACAGAAAAAGGAACTGAACCGCTCAGCACCGATGGCTGGGCCACGTGTTGCGCATATCAGCCCACCGACTTCCACGACATGCGTTGTTTGCTCACCGGAGGTGTGGATGGAAGAAGAGGAGAGGTGGCCAAGCGATGACTTGGTCCAGAGGAATGAAGGCTCTCACTTCGGAGCTGGCCTCGGTTGGAGCGTCACGCCTCCCTGGTTGGGGTCCAAAAGACGATGAACACGTTTGGCTAGATACACTTGCTGACATGGCAAGGAGCCGACCTCAGTGGCGTTCGTGTTGTGAGTTTCTTTGTCCCTCCCCATATATTTTAGCCTCCGCCTCCAACCACGATCTCATTTCGTAGCGTAATATAATGTTACATAATAATTTTCTTTTTGCCTAGTAGCCGGCTGGTAGCTTACTGGAACGATGCCTATCCGTTGCTGGTAGCTCAGCTGGCATGCAACTGTTGTATTTATTTTGCTTTTCCTTTATGTATTGCGGCACAGTAGCTGAGGTGTTTCCCAC